GTCTTCATTCACACATCACGTCTCAAATTGTATCTCAAGCTCTTCAACTGGCACTGTTGTCTTTTTGGTAAACAAGTATACAAACTATATTAGTATTAGTATTAGCAATATTAAAATATTGTTAGAGGGAGTCATTAATCTACTGAACTGAACTCACATCAGAGCTCGTATTGATTCGCTCTTCCTCCAGCACCATCTGAGGAATTATTCAAATGCTTCTTCACCGTCTGGCCGAAGAAACAATGACGAAATTGCATGTGCTGTTTTAAAAATTTCGAAACCTGAGGACGAAACACTGGGAAAATACAGACTGAGGAAAACATCCTTTAAAAAAAAGAGATTGAAAAGGAAGAAAGAGTGTAAGAGTCTAAATCCAGCTTGGAAATGGGATACGATTGATTTCATGTTTAACATGATTAATTTATGTTAAACAGAGCAAGTGCACAGCATCCTTAGTTTTAAAGCACCATCAAATCAGCCAAAATAATCAATGAACAAACATGCAGTGAGCAGTGAATATGAAGAAGTTTGTGAATGACAAACATTCCAACTGTACCGAAATCCACTGAATCATTTTCTCTTCGAAGAAATTGCCCTTGGCGAGCAGCGTGCATTCTTCGCATCTCTTGCGATGCTTTGACAGCAGACAGATGCATGTGGCATTCTGTACAGCTTGTGTTTTGATACTAAAACTAAGGGGATAAAACCATGAGTAAAACAGTGAATCAAACAACAATTTCCAACAAATCAAAGGAACAGTTCACCCAGTTGTTTGTTCATCTGAACCGATTTGGAGAAATGTAGCATTACATCACTTGATCACCAATGGATCCTCTGCAGTGAATGGGTGCCGTCAGTCCAAACAGCTGATAAAAACATCACACTAATCCACACCACTCCAGTCCATCAGTTAATGTCTTGTGAAGTAAAAAGCTGCATGTTTTTAATAATAAACAAATCCATCAAGGTGTTTTAACTTTATACTGTCACTTCTGGCCAAAATATCAGTCCATAATCCCTAATAATGCCTTCTCCAGTAAAAAAAAAATAATAAAAAATGGTGCTTGATCTGTGCATATTTCTTTCCTGATTCAAACAAGATTACCTTTTCACTGGAGAAAGCAACAGATATGCATTTTAGCTGGAAACATTGTTTGAAGTTAAAAACATCTTGATTATGGATCTATTAGAAACTACGTGCCTTGTGGATTACTTATATTACTTGTGATGTTTTATCATCTGTTTGGACTCTCATTCTGACGGCACCCATTCACTGCAGAGGATCCATTGGAGAGCAAGTGATGCAAAGATTCATTTCTAAAAATCTTTCTCAAAATTCTTCCAATGAACGAACAAACTCATCTTGGATGGCCTGAGGGTGAGCACATTTTCAGCAAATTTTCGTTTTTCGGTGAGCTATCCCTTTAAATCACTTCTGATACGATCTGAATTTGGAGGTTGTAAATTTATATTTGTGCTGGAACAAGCCGAACCCAGTTTTGGCACTTTTGGAATTGGATCCAACAGCTATTTTTGTGAATGTAACACCTCATATGGCTTTAAAGGAAATACACAATAAAGATCTGTCGTGTTTCTTCAACTATGGGTTCTTTTGTCATTTTTATTTTTTTTTTCTGGTCAACTCATTTGTCTTGCTGAGGGTAATCTCATAGCTTGCATTTATGTATCCTGAATAAACCCAATTAAATACTACTTTCACACTTTTCTGAGACACAATCAAATATTCTGTTCACAAATGATATTTAGCTTCATTTGTCTTCATTCACACATCACGTCTCAAATTGTATCTCAAGCTCTTCAACTGGCACTGTTGTCTTTTTGGTAAACAAGTATACAAACTATATTAGTATTAGTATTAGCAATATTAAAATATTGTTAGAGGTGTCAGCCAATCATAATTTTGATAAATTATATAAAAATAATTTCATAAATTAAAAACTGAAATGATTTATGATTAACTATTTGTTTAAATTATATCAGGTGTGTTTGTTTAATTTATAAATGTCTAGATCAGTTTGTATAGATTTGTTTTAAATGTAAAAAAGTATATATATATATATATATATATATATAAATATATATATATATATATAAACAGATATAGTTCATATATTTCATAGTTTAAAAGAATATCTGGGTAGAAATACAAAATCCACACATAAAATACATTTAGAAAATAATCAAAAATAAATATAGACAACTTGTCTTTACGTGACATTCATATAATGAAAGAGAAAAAAAATCCTCCTAATTGTTATAAAACAAATCCTATGAATAGGTGCTCAAAGTGGAAGAAACTACAGATCAAACGTTTAGGGTTAGTAAACTTTTTTTTTTTTAAGAAATTAATAATTTTAATACATAAAATTGATAAAAAAGTGACAATAAAGGCATGTAATGTTACAAAAAGACTTCTATTTTAAATAATGCTGTCCTTCTTGATTTTCTATTCATCAAAGAATCCTGAAACAAAGTATCATCACATTTTCCACAAAAACATTACGTGCCAACTACTTTCAACATTGATAATAATAAGCCATGTTTCCTGAGCAGCAAATCATCTCTCCTCTTGAGCACACACAAGCACACACTCTCTCTCGGTCTCTCTCTCTCTCTCTCTCTCTCTCTCTCTCTCTCTCTCTCTCTCTCTCAGGTATCTGACCCTAATCTTCCCTCTCCAACAGCTTCAATCCCATCTCTTATTGTGTTTGGCCTGCCCAGCAGAGCAGACCGGATTCTCTCTGTCTCCTTTATCACTCTGCAGTCCCTGCCAGGACAAGAAGAAAGAAAGACTGCACTGGAAACAGCTGAGCTGGAGACTTCTCTTCACTGCTAAACCGTTTGGGGGTTTGGAGATAGTGAGGGCCAGGACACCGTCACTCTCTCTCTCAGTGGACAGTACTGATAGGGTTATGAGAGGGGAAGTGAGTAAAGACACTTCATGTTGTGAGTCTCAGTCGGACGCTGTCAGTCAAGCCACAGAATGATTACCTTCAGCTCGTCTGGATTCAAACATTCAGAGCGTCTCAGGCTGGGATATATCCTGCAGCGTTGATGTGTCCTGTCACTCAACACTTCCTCCTCTCATTACTTACTCTAGCTTCCCTGTTCGTCTCATTTCCATTCAGGATGCATCTGTATACTCTCACCCCAGTGTCCTCAAACTCTTTCTTTCTGCCGAAAATGGCACTAAATTATGCAGTGATGACAGGAGGGATGGAGGTAGATGGATTGTCAGTCTCATGCCCCGTTCACACAGAGTGATTTTGCCGTTGGAGGACGGCGGGTCGCTACTGGGCGTTCCTGAGGCTGGACGTCCCGATGTTGCAGCTAATAGCTTTTTAAAATCTTATCACAAATGAGGTGTACTGCTGGTAAAAATCATGTGTAATTTAATTCAACAACAAATTAGTTTTCTTGTGTCTTAAAATTTGCATCCTGAAGCGGAAATTAGTTTAGGCTTTAAACAAGGAAAAAAAAACTATTTGCTAATGGGGTGAGACAAAATAAACATGTTTGCTTTTTGAATTAAGCTTATTTTGTCTTTGCTGAGCATTTTAAGCATAAATCCCATTAACTTGAGTTAGAGTTCTCTCTTAGAACGATTTATTATCATATGCCATGTTGCTTGTTTTACAATACAAAGAAAATTGTTTTTGCAGTGCACTCAGGTTGCCAGAAACTTTGAAAATGAATGACCACCTGTCTTAGTGCAACTGCAGATCACCGTCAGCATGAACAATCCTTCAGATGATGGTCCATTCCTCTATTACATATTGGATTGATTATAGCACTACCCCTGACCAGTGTTTTTTTTATATATAAAAAATAATTACAATTATACAAATTTAATCAAATAAAAAAGTTAATTAAAAAGTTAAATATAAATAAAACAAGACAAAATTCATAAATATTAAATAAAATACAATTTGGATTGATTATATCACTTCAACTGACAGGCACTATATAAAATAAATTATAATATAAATATAAATAAAGCAACACAAAAAATAAATAAATAAAATATAGAAATACCATCAAATCAAAATAAAATCTAAATAAATTAATTTCTATTTATTTTGTTTAAACAAACAAAAAATTTAAATAATACAAAAAAATCATCTTCATCCAGCAGCAGTCTCAATGTGTATATTCACAAACATGATTGCCAGTGGGATTCTTGCCCTTTATATACTGAGAAATGAACAATGGACTACTCAGAAAAGAACATTTCAATCTGCTCAATAACAAAGAGAAAAGCTGAGCTCATATGAACTGAAATCTCACCAACAGGTCAACTCAAATCTGACTTCTGCTAAAATTATTATGGACTTATGGACTTCAGCACCATGGACAGAGACGCACACAAAACTCCAGCACCATGGACAGAGACACACAAAACTTCAGCACCATGGACAGAGAGACCAAATTAAAGATACCCCTGCTCACTACAGACTGATGTAAGGGATAAATAATACTGTTTTACAACTTCAATGCAGGGAAAAACACGTGATTCAACTAAAAAAAGGCCAATCAGAAAAAAATCCGATATGCTCTACACCAGGGCTACCCAAACTCGGTCCTGGGGGGCTGGTGTCCTGCAGAGTTTAGCTCCAACTTGCCTCAACACACCTGCCTTTAAGTTTCTAGTATGCCTAGTAAGAGCTTGATTAGCTGGTTCAGGTGTGTTTAATTAGGGTTGGAGCTAAACTCTTCAGGACACCGACCCTCCAGGACCGAGTTTGGACAGCCCTGCTCTACACAGAGAATAAGTATAAGACTGATTCACAATGCGACCTGAATGTGGGCGGAGCATTCCAGTGTGATGTCATAATTAGAACCCAAGTAACCATTAAAACAGCATCACACCTAGCTAGTGTACTAACAAGTGTTCTACAGAAATCAAGTGCACTACGGCTCTAGAGCAGAGCATTAGCAAAAAAAGTTAAGTGTGTGTAGCTCGAGGACAGAATTCCTACCTTGACGTGATTGAATTCGTTCTTGCTGGCATCACTGCCGACTGGTTTATTTTCAGCGCGTGGCTTTAGAACCTGCCGCAGTGGGCTGGAGACGGGCAGACCTGTTACACTAATACCATCTGAAAGCACAAAACAACATACATTAGACATACGGCACACATTAACACAGCGGCCAGAGGCCTGAGAAACAGCGCGAGAGAAAAGAGAGATCACTATCTTATGTGACTTATGTGAGGAGAGGACGCTATTATACAGCAATAATTCCTCACATTCAGAGGACGTGAACATCACTCAAACGCTTCGCTCTCCATCTCTCTCTCCATCCGCCTTTCTATCTCTCAGCGCATCTGTTTGTCCGGCATTTAGCACTCGAAATAAAAATTAAAATCCATAACGTGACAGTTTGAAATATGATGAGGTGGAAAAACTTGGTAATAAATAAGGCGATGGAGTGCGTGTGCCGCAGTGACTCTCTGGAACACACTCAGGTGGATATATTTTATCTCTGCAGGGCATACGGATAACAGCATAAGCTTCTAAACGCACACACAAATTCATTCAAGCGAGAAACATTCTGGGTTATTTTTAGAAACGGGACATAAATATGATGAATGAGACTTTCATCAACACAGACTTAAATGGTCTGCAAGACTGCAAGAACATAAAAACACAAAACTAAAAGCACAAATCCTCAAATGTACGACATCCGTTGCAGTAGGGCTGGGCGGTATATGAAATATTCAAGATATATCTGCAATGATTTCGCTGGTTATATGAAATTAACCAATATTGTTATGGTACCCCATTACCCCATTTTACTAGGATATTACGTTTCTTATAGAGCGTGTGTCAGTATAGTGTTGTGATTATTAAAACAGAGATGTTTTAAAGGTCTAATTTAAACTTTTATACAATAAATGGTGCTGAGTTGGAAAGTGTGATTCATTTCTGCGAGTCAGTTCAAAATGATTAAATTCATAGCATTTATTAAAATATTTGCATCACCCAAAAATGCTTACAAATGTCCTCACATGCTTGATTTATTAAAGCCAAAATGAAATCAAAATGTACCCAATATACTTATTTAATACATGTTCCTCATTCACATTTTAAAGGCCACTTTTCACAGAAAAGTGCCGAAACAAAATCCAATTTATTCGAATTATCGTGTATAATTTGGAAATATGTTAGATTATTGTCAAAATGTTGAAATTAAATTAAATGAATGAATGAATAAATAAATAAATTAATTAATGAATGAATTGTATACAGCACGTTTAAAGATTAATAATAATAATAATAAATATATTATACCCGTTTCAAATTTTTTATAATAATAACAATAATAATAATATAAACAAAATAAAAAATAATTAAAATAAATGTAATTTATATAGCGCTTCTAAAGGTTTAATAATAATAAATCATAATATTTTGTTAATAATAATAATAAATGTTTAAAGGTAGTGAATTTTAGTCTTAAAAAATGAATAAATAAATAAAACAAACAAACACGGAGGTTGCATTGTCTGCTACACAAAACCATTGCTCTAATTGAAGGTTTTTCTGCAGCAGTGACATTTCTGGATTTGACCTGCTTTGGCTCTGTCTGAGGGAAAATAATGAGGGTTAATTGCAGCATTTGCCATGCACAGATTTCTCTCCGTATCTCATGCAGATGCTCCAATACACTCGGATGGATTCTGACATACCACAGAGGAGGAAGAGCAGAAGAGACGGCAGGTGAAAGGTGCATGTACGAAAATGCAGCTCATCACTATTTGAACAGAAACTAATGTCTGTAGAACAGAATGTGATTTTCAATAATCATTCAGATGCTGCCTCTCTGCTGCTCGGTAAAAGAGAGTCGTACGCAGCAGCTCACATCAGGACAGATCTGGTCAGTATTTGTGATTTTCCACCTGTGGGTTCTGAAAGGGAAGGAGAGGGTGTTCAATCACTCGGCACACAGAGAACTTACGGTCCTCATTACGAGTCCCACAGCCTCTGAAATGACATCACTTCCCTTCAAGAGTGTCTGACACAATATGTCGTAATGTCTGCTACTAACTTTATAAGACACAGACGCCCAGATACCAGGTCAGAGCAAACAGAGTGACATGAGGTAAGAGGAGGCGGAGTTAAGAGTGTCACACAAGCAGAAGAGGGCGGAGCTAAGGTGTATATATGTATAAGCTAAAAGAAAAGATAAATTTAGATTCATAAATATAAAATTATATATATATACACACACATTTTGATTAATTTGAGTAAAAATGTGGGGTTTTTTACCAAGAAAGTGGCTAGATGAAAACCACTATTTTCGGTTTCAAACATTCACATAGCATCTTTAGGTTATAATAACATTAAAAATTCTAATCTAGATTTTGATTTTCAAAGATTTATTACATAAAAAATGTTTTCCCCAAAATGCACTAAATCCATGCCACTTTTTTTTCCTTCAAAATGCAATAAATCCATTGAATCAATGTAAAAGTAATTTTTCATATTGAAACTGTTAAAAATACACAACATAGTAAGTTGATCCACATATGACAGCCTCTGAACTTAGTCAATACTAATCTTATATGCAGGCACTGGACTAAAAATATATTCAATCAGTCATCGCTGCCAAAATGAATTCAACGGGTCGGGTCGTCTTGTTAATGCTATAAATTAATAACAACAATAAAAGAAAATTTCATCATGAACATACATGAACAACAATATCACATTAAACCACAGAAATTCCAAAATGACATTTCCCTTACATTCAACTTCCAAAAGTGCATTCATCTTTGCCATGTTACATTGCTATACGCTGTATTAACAAAAACATTAATGGCATTAATCAAAACACTTACACTGACAAGCTACGCAATATCGCGTTCATAATCGAATGTGACTCATCTGCGATTATGAACGCGATATAGCAGTGATCTACGGCTCTGTGTATTAAATGCCGCTCCATCTGAAAGCATGTGATGGAGATTTACTATTAATCACAGAACCGGCTTTACTGACGAGATGCGCATGACAATCACATGCGATTTATCGTGCAGCCCTAAGTTTGTTTGTTGATCACAAAGTACAAAGTAGATGAGGAAAACTAGGATGCCGGGTGTATTCAAAGCGCCGCCATTCTAGAGTGTGTGGAATGGTGCGCTGTGATCGGTTGTTACTGTCTAGAGTGCGTTGAATGGTGCGCTGTGATTGGTTGAGTGGATATATCGCATTCTGCAGAGAAGGGAGACTTTTGTCGCAGTTTGGAAAGAAAGGAAGAAAACATGACAGAATAACTCGGCGGATATCGCATTTTGCTTAAAATTAAAAATTGACTTTTCAATACCGACCAGATACAATACTGATTTTGGCGGAAACTCAAAAAAAATAAACAAAAAAAGGCGTTTATCGCGTTTTGGAACTAAACTCTTCATATATACACAAATGCAACAAAATAAAAATATTATTTTTTTATAAATATAAAATATTATATAAATGTGTTATACTACTACTACTACTAATAATAATAATAATACAGGTCATAAAGGTTTTTAATATGTATAATATTAATAATATTAATATAAAAACAACATTAAATTATTGATTATTATTAAAATGCACAAATAACTATTTTCATATAGCACATTTAATGATTTAATAATAATATTGTTATGATAATAATATAAAAAATAAAATACTTTATTAATATTAAAATAAAGAAATATTTGATATAGCACCTTTAAAGATTTAATAATAATAATAATAATAAACCAAATAAAATAAAAATATTATTATAAAAACAAATATTTGTATTTGTATATAAAAATTAAATATTATATAAATATTTATA